CCCCAAAACCCCAAAACCCCAAAACCCCATCAGAAAGATTTAAAGATGAGATATGCAAATATTAATTACAAATAAAGTTGAAGATATAAGTTGAAATCAATTGGCGACTTAAACCAATCAAATTCTATTGTTCATTCACTTATTCCATTTATATAAGACGTAGTACAATTGATTAATAGTAATCAGTGCGAGCACTTCGTTCATTAAATTCTTTCCATAAATTGATCAATTTAATCAATAAATTGACTTAGATCCTAACAATCTGAGGCAATATGATCTAGCATAGATTAATCCTCATTCTGTTAGTTCAGTGTCTGCTTAGACTTTGAGAATTATTTCTGCATTTCTGGGGCCATGTCAAAAGGACTCTCCCCGAAATCATCATCGAGATTGAAATCTCGAGGTATTATGGTTCCTATTCCACCTATACCTACACCCAGATTAAAATCGCGGTCATTGTTCGTGCGATTGGTCTTGGCGACTTATTTGCCCCCCTTTCCTGCCTTTATTTTATCAAAAGTTCTAAACATCCAGTCTTCTTCCTCCTCTTCAACAGAATCGTCATTTCCATTATTCTAACTATCAGGCTAGATTGGTTTTTCAAGCTCTGACTAAAGTTTTTTAGTAATGTTATTTGCATTTAGAAGTGAAGACCGGACAGTGACTGTTATCCCCGGCATTTAAGGTTTATTACTGTTATTAGATCCAGCTGTATTATCACTTTCACCAGATCCCATTAGCCACTCATCAACTTCTTTATTTCTTTCAAATATAGCTTCATCATCTTCTTTTTATAGCACACCTTTGTGAGCAATAGCAAAGTTTATTTTAGCCATGACAGGTTTATTCCTTTTTTGTTCTTCTAACTGGCGATTTGGAGATTAAGATTTTTTATCCTAATTTTCACCAGTTGGATTGGCATTTTATGCTGCATTTTTTTGGCTCATTTTGTTTTATATGATATCTTGCTTTGGCAAAGATAGAGACCTTGCTCTTCTTTAGAATGGGAATTAGAAAACTCCAGCTCCTTCCCCAGTTGGAATTGTGATTTGTTCTTCACCATTTGTAGTACTTATATTCGTAGGACTGTTATCAGTTGGTTTTGTAGCAATTTTATTTGTATCTTTGATTTCCTATAAATTAGACAAGCCTCCCTGATCAAAGTTTGGTGGAGGGGAATAATTTCTTAAGTGAGAAATCTTAGAGAGTGAAATTTTTTGTGGGGGCTTGGGCTTTATAGGATGATTAGGGCCACCTGTATTTAAATTTTGAAATTAGTTTTAGCTTTAATTATTATTAGTTCCATCTTCTTATCTTGGTGGGCTGATATCAATTACAGGCTTTACAAACTAGCTTACTTCTTGAATATCTTTTTCAATACCGTGCATTTTCATTTCCTTTTGGAAGCTTTACTTACTTATAAGTCCCTTTTTCAAGCAATTAATACCAGAGCCTAGAACTTTTTTCTAAGTAATGCTTTGATTAAGAGAGTTATTTGTCCTACTCTAATTAATCATTCCCTTAATATAATCTGATGCTAGTTACGACTGTGAAGGCTGAGTATTTAAAGTTGGCTAAGTCTTGCATGACTCATGCTGGATTTTGCCTACCATTGGTGGTTTATCATTATTCTTCAATACTTAGTTAGGAGGAGGAGAAGGTGACTGCCTTATCTTATTTTGGCTAATAATTTTAACTCTATGAGAATCACTAGCATTTTAGTTACTTTAGGTTGAAAGTTAAGAACCTCTTTATGTCCTTTACTGAGTGAGGGTATTATCATGAAAAGCTTCTTCTGTTTAATTGCCAATGTAGTTATTAAGCTGTGTATTGATCTTAGGTCTGTTGAAATTCGAACTGTCTGCTTTCATTTGGGTCATTGAGGTGATACTCTTTTCCTCATTATCAGAGTTTACATTGGTTTCATCATCTGAGAGATGATTCGGCTGAAAGTTTTTACTACTATGTTAGTGCAAACTTTTTTAACTCTATTTTTGGTTATTCCTTAGTAAATTACTTCCACTTGAGTTGTGTCCCATGATATTTGGATTCATATTCTAATTATTACTTGGATTATCAATTATGCTTTGATTATTTGGCTAAGCCATAAATGTAATTGAAGATGGGCTTAGTTATTTTAAACTCGGCTGTCTATTCTCTGGGGAAGGAGAGGTTCCATCTTTTTTTATAATCTTTATTTAGTTAGCTGGAATTATCATTTTATTTCCTGAAGAGCCCATTATTCTTTAAGGGGAAATCTTCATTATCTAACTTTACAAGCTCAAATCATTACTGCCACTTGAGTTCAAGTTTGAAATGATGCTTTAGCAATTAGAATAAGTAGAGTTAATTGGACTTTGACCTTTGGCAGGAATAAAAGCCAAGTTCTTCATTTATAACCTTTGAATGACATCTTTTTAAGAATTATTATGGTCGTCTGGAGATTGGCTTTTGTTATCCTCTCTATAAGGGGGCTTGTTGAGAGGAATTTTGTGAAATTGCTAGCTGGTAGGAGATTAACTAGGCGGAGGCATGTTGTTGTTTGTTGTTATTTTAATTTTGGGGGATCCTATTCCCTGCAGTTTCGCCTTGATCTAACTCGATAGAGAGGCCATTTCTTAAATTTTCTTTTCTAACTTAAATTAAAAAATAATATGAATATATAGGAATTTTCAAAGATTAACGTATATAATAACTTAAGAAGACACTCATTCGAAAATCTCTGTTGAGAGCATAAAACTTAAAATCAAACATAGGAAGATGATCAATCGTCATCTTTGCAAGTAAGCTTTTTTAAGTCATATTTAAGTATTGAGATTCTCTTAGTAATTTTTTGTATTTCTGAGTCCATCTCTTATCTTTTTTGCCTCTGAGACATTTATTTTGAAAATTCTGGAAGATGCTGAGCTTAAGATTAGAGCTATAACATTTTCAATAAGATAAATAACTTACAAGTTTTCTGTGATCTGCGAGTTCATAAATCTTTTATTGTTTAAATTTGATTATTTGAGCCTTTGCTTACGGATCATCCTCGTTCATTGCCTAAATATCAATATCATAATCTCGAGCCATTGAAAATGGCTAATAGCTTTGCTAGATTTACTCTTATTGAGAGTATCTACTTTAATTATTCTGATATTAATCGTCTTTTGTAGTGACACCGTCATCTCCAAAGGTTATGGAGCTCTTATATGCACTAATTTTTGGAAGTTGTGACATTCTTTCCTGCCAAGTTGCTTGCCTGAATTGAGTTTCATTCTATAACCTAGGATTTCTTGTTGATTATGGATGCTATCTTTGCTTCACAGAGCTTAGCTATTAGGGTTATGAGTTCCTATTACCTGGTGCACCTTTCATTCCCAATTTGTTCTTGAATGGAGTCTAAGTGCCCATATTGCTCATTCTAAAGTTATCATAAGACTAGGATAAGCTATGATCCATCACCATGCTTCCATTGTTGTTGTCTCTCCAATTTCTGCCATTTTCATAATTAGTTGAAATATCTGTTTCAGCTGCTCTGTATTGACTTTAATTATAAAATCCACCTTAGCCCGGTGAATCTCTTACATAAGAATCCTTGAAATTGCTTTTCTAAGGAGATCCTTAAACTTCAGAAATATTTCTCAAATCTACTCTCTTTAGAGGAAAAGTATTTGAACCCTAGACACTCGCTCTCATGTTCGCAGCATTTTATTTTTCGTCACTACCTCCTAGTAGACCACCCATTGTATCTACAAAATTTCTGTTCACTGATTAAACTCTAACCTCTCCAAGCTATTCTCTTGTAAAATTTCCTCTTCTATGTGATGGTTCCTAAGGTGATTGCATATTTCTAGAGTTTGAATCATCTTCCAATAAATTTTAAAATGTCCTTCTATCCAGTCTCTCACTCATTGAATCTGATCTTTTTCCTACATTTTTGTAGCCTCTTTGAGGACTTGTAATTTATATTTATGGCGATTAATTAGAGGGCCCATGTGAAAGTGATTCTTACAGAGTGAATCTTACTTTCTAATCTCTGGTATTAGATCTATTTCCTTGAATATCAGGAGTCAAATCTATCACAGTCTTCTTTATTGAAAGATAATTCTTAATATTTTATGGTATGACCTATTGAGTAAGAGCCTTACTTGCTGAAGGCATGAGATTAATCGTTGATCTTTAAATAGCAACATTTGGTTTAAAGTAGTTTGAAGGCATTACAATCTTTGGTATGGATATGACAGGGTTACTGCTGCTAAATTACATCTAGCCCGAACCTGAACTCTGATTATTAAGCAGATAAAAATTTTGCTTTAGTTCATTATATGCCCTATTTTATCCTTCTATAACTGCTCTCTACTAAGCTAGGTCAAGTTGCACTTATTGGTTTTCAGATTCTAACTGCATTATAACATCATTACCATATCTTAATCTCTCCTCGTAATCAGTTACCTTCATTCTTTGCTCTTAAATACTAAGCTGTTTCTATTCATAAATAGTTGAATTTTGGCTTATTTCATCCCTAATCATTGCTATTTCTCTTTACAAGCCTTCATTCTCTCTGTGGACATCTTTACAATTAGATGATTCTCCTCTAATCTCTGCCTTTAGGATTTACTCTTCTTCCCACAATCTCTGGTATTCGTGTTCTTTCGTATTGAATTCAAAGTTTAAATTTTCAATTTTCTGCTTCTTAAACAATACCTCATTTTAAAGGTCATCTTTTTCGTTTTTAATCAGAGATATTTCATTCAGTAGTTGATCAATGACATTATCCTTGGACTTAAGAACATTTTAAAGATTCTCTAATTTGTCGTTCATTTCCCTGAACTTCTCAGGATGGACGACTTGCAAATTTCTGTCCATATACTCAACTTTTTCTTCAATAGTCATATTCTCATTATTCACATTTTCTACCTAATCTTGGAGTTGTCTCTCAGTTTTCCTCAGTTATTCATATTGATAGCCCAAAAGTTCCTTCTCTTTTTCCATCTCAAGATAATACTCGTAATGCTACTTAAGGATATCATTTTCAAGCTGCTATGAATTAAATTCTTTTACTAATTGATTGTAATATGGTGTCATTAGATACATCCAACTGAAATTCCCTTTGGAATCACCAGGATGTGGGACTGCGATAGGATTGATAATCATCTTTTCCTTGTACCTTTACTCCTTATCCCCTTTGCTATTTTATATTTCCCCTTTTATATTTGGTTTCTTAGCATCACCATAAAACTATTTATTATACTTCTCTATTAAATGCGCGAGATCTTCTCTCAACTAGAACTCTTTGTAGTTTCCAACTGAAAACTAGCCAATATTAACTTTATCTGAATATGATGGCAGAGGTTCGTTCTTATCAGGTTTGAATTTCTAAAGATTGCTTGGTCTACTTGGATCATTAATCTATTATACATCTAGCTGTATGGACTAGTTTGGAGATGCAATCAAATTTTACTACAATTCTGATAGATCAATTTTTTTATCGCCGTATTTGGGATCTATAATGACAGGTTACTCCTGCATTAGTTCTTGATCCAACTCGTTGAAATGCTCTTGCTATCCATTAGTTTGTTGACTCATCACTTATTCCTGATCTTAAGCTTCTTGATTATCTGCTAAATCCTAGTAGATATTCCCCTAAGTGGTGATTACTTAATTGAAGTACTCTATATCTTCATTTTGTGTTTGATAGACTTAGTCATTTTAATGGTTATTTATTTCTGCTGTTTCCATCATTTGGACATTAGTTTGCTGGATATTCTATGTACCAGTAGTTGAATAATACTGCTATGTACCTGAAAGAATAGTCTATACCTGAGGAGCCTCTTGATCTTAATAATCTATGCTATCATTTTAGACAGTGGCAAGAGTATTTTATTATAGATTTAGTGTTTTTTAAGTACTGATTTCAGTTTTATTTTATTAGACAACTTTATTGGATGATACTTTCGAAGTAGATTTGATTGTTTATGATGATGTGAAATTCTAAAGAACATTTAACTAATAGATTTTACTTATTTTATTGAGGATGAGCTTATCTGAACTTTAGAAGTTGACTTTTATGTACTTTGACGCATTTTATTTAATTAAAATTTTTATTTTATTGCCATGCATTGCTGATGATCGGCACAATGGGGTTTTGGGGTTTTGGGGTTTTGGGG